TCAGACTTCAGTATACTTACAGAATCTGTATGTACAGTTTACATTGCATTGTGTATACACAGTATTTAGTATATGAACAGAACCTCCAGTGTGTGCGTGCGTGTGTGTGTGTGTAGTTCAGACTTTAGTATACTTACAGAATATGTAGGTACAGTGATCAGTATGCGTACAGAGTAATTCGTAGATGTAGTAGTGCATTCTTTATGCACAAACCCTTAGAATACGTATCGCATTTGGCAATATTGAAGGTAAACCCAAGTAAACACCACAGTAACAGGATTGAGATGATCTGGCCGCCAGGTAAATTCCAGGTGAGGTTGATGACCACGACGGGATAAAAGTGAGCGTTGATGTAAATCAAATACAAACAAATACATAGGCATCAAAGATGACGTAGAAAACTAAACAATAAATGTATTTACACTGTTCAGCTGTTGGAAATATTAGCTATATCTTGTAAGTTGACTGAATAAATACATGATTTCTTTTTGCAATATAAGATCAGTAATCTCTTTATCTACCTTCCCAACACGAGATAAATCTGTATTTTCGACCAAAACTGACTTTAAAAACTTATAGCTAGAAAGCTTATCAAATTGTCTTTTCTAGCTAGACCAATCAGAAACCATCTAAAGTTCGATGACAGCTCTGAATTCCCAGGAAGAGGTCTCTTTTTTGTTCAATTTCTCCTCGCTCTGCTGGTAATATCGATATCGTTTTCTATCAAATATTAAATTACCACTGATCCAAAGACATTCTGGATGAAGTTTGTCCCCACTCAGCTAGTAGCATCATTTAGATTTTTTAACAAATGATGTTGAACTGACACTGATCTGTAAACGTCCTAGTAGCTCAACATAATGTGATGAAAACCTAAGTTTTGCTACAAGCAGAGCATGAACAAATCTGACACAAAACGTTTGTAGATCAGTGTTAATTCGACATAATTTCATAAAAATCTGAATTATGCTACCAGCAGAGTGAGGTAAAATCCAACCAAAAATGTCTTATGGTCAACGGATATTTAACATAACTGGTCAAGCCTGGTCAAGTTTGAACTAAAAAGTACTTGGATCATTGGTAATTCAGCAGAATATGATAAAAAATCGAAATGATGCTACCAGCAGAACGAGGACAATTTGATCCAGGACGTTTGCAGATCAGTGTTAGTTCAACATCATTTGTCAAAAAAATCTAAATGATGCTACAAGCTGAGTGGGGACAAACTTGATCCAAGATGTTTGCAGATCAGTGTTAGTTCAACATCATTTGTCAAAAAATCTAAATGACGCTACTAGCTGAGTGGGGACAAACTTGATCCAAGACGTTTACAGACCAGTGTCAACTCAACATCATTTGTTAAAAAAATCTAAATGACGCTACTAGCTGAGTGGGGACAAACTTGATCCAAGACGTTTACAGACCAGTGTCAACTCAACATCATTTGTTAAAAAACTCTAAATGATGCAACTAGCTGAGTGAGGACAAACTTGATCCAAGACGTTTACACATCAGTGTTAGTTCAACATCATTTGTTAAAAAATCTAAATGATGCTGCTAGCTGAGTGGGGACAAACTTGATCCGTTGATCTGAAAGCACTCTCTCGAGTTGTAGTTCTAAAGGTGCATATATGTGTTATTTTTACTTAAAAACTGATTTCACGACAATAACACCTATTAATAACAGTACATTCGCTTTGAAAGTTAGGAAAATAATTGTGAATCTGATAACTTAATTGAGGCTTCCTACTACGTATAAATAACGAGACTGGACAGATTTAGTAAAAATGAACACAATTTTATTATATAACACATAAAAAGAAAACACAGCCTATGTACTTACTCAGAGAGAATCACAATCGAACCTCTACTAAAACACGATTATTTTCAAGTATGGTTTTCTCTGCACAATCTCCTGTTAGAACTGATTCAAGAAATCGCACCTGAACTCAACAGGTAAATACAGTTTTTTATCTAGTCGACAGCGTACCTCGTGACCTTTTTCTTTCACAGCATTGGTTGGCTGTTAGATTCAGACAACGTCAGCTCGGCCAACAAAGGATATTACAGTCGCTATTCCTTTCAACCCGGACGCTATATCTTACTGTAATATCCTCTTAGCCGGAATAAATATTATCTACTCTAGAGAACAAAGAAACCAAGCATGTATAACAAGGCAATCTAATGAATTTCTGGACCATGCATTTGTGCTAAAATTGTATACGAACTAAATAAACGAAAAAAAGTTATGTGAATAACGAAACCAGATATAAACATATATGATATGCCTGCAGTTAACAAGTATTCTTTACGTAGTGTATTCAGTTCGTCTTTTTGTCTCCCATCGAGCAAAATGTACATAAATTAACTAAAATGAAGATTATGTTAGATAATAATTCCCAGTTCAATTATCTTACTGAAATGAAATTGTTTTATTTGAAAGATATCTAGTACATCACCTTCATAGTCTTAGCTGGTGGTTTACCAAAGCTACCATGTTACAGTACGTTATACTTCTATAGTCTTAGCTGGTGGTTTATTTGAGTCAACATATTAGAGCAGCCATACCTCCAGTTTTATAATCTTAGATAGTGTATATATGTTACCAGCGTACAAATAAATAAGTATTTGACATGAAGCTAAAAATAGTACATTTTTCTACATATTTTAGGTTTGGTTTGTTTTGAATGTCGCGCAAAGTTACACGAGGGCTATCTGCGCTAGCTGTCCCCAATTTAGCAGTGAAAGACTAGAGGGAAAGCAGCTAGTCATCACCACCCATCGCCAATTCTTGTGCTACTCTTTTATCTATGAATAGTGGGAATGACCGTCACATATATAACACCCCCACGGCTGAAAGGGCGAGTATGTTCGGTAATGAGGATTCGCACCCGCGACCTTCAGATTTGCGAGACGAGCGCTCTAACCACCAAGCCAGGTTAGGCCCACAAATTTTAGGATCCTTTTAATTCACATGGTGACCCGAATAAATGTTTTATAGTGTTAATTAACAACAGCTACTTAATTTTCTTGTAGAAGTAAGTTTAATATTAGACATATTTACTGCATGTGTTCACAAGGAAAATTTGGATAAAACTTGTAGTAAAGATATGATATATTTTGTGCAAAAAAGTGTTTTTGCTGCACTAGAAACAAAACTTTTACTTCGAATCACGAGAATAGCTTAAATTATTACATTTTAATATTATTTCCAAATAAATAAAGAAACGATCACTAGTAAATTTATATTTAAATTGTATTGTATCGCCATCTATTGAGCATTGTAATGACCTATTAATCCACGTAGAAAAATAATTATAACCTCCATTAATTTAGTAACAAGTATTTATGTTGCAATTCATATCACTTATTACTACTAACGCTTTTTAAGTTAAAATTTATATTGATCATGGAAGGTTTAGGTTTCAAATTAAAAAGTCGACAGAGCAGCTTGTTCTGAGACTCGTCTTTTGGTCACTTCGATCATCACCAGCTTGGACACGCGTGCCTAAGACGTTGTTGATGCCAGACTTTTGTTAAACTTTACTTGAAATGCCTGAATAGAGCCACCTAGTGGCATTAAGTGACTTCAATGAAATTATACGAGTGAACTAAATCCGAGAGTTAGGTTATAATTATAGCCAGCGCCCTCTTTTGCTAAGAACCGGTGCAAGTTTTTTTTTTTTTCAGTACTTATGATATTCCTTGTTATACCTTTTTACACTTAATCCTTCAGTTAACAATAATTGTTTATTGTGTATATAAGTTCGGTCACTACTAGTTTGACACAAACGTATGAAACCAGATGTGTATATGGCTTTCATATCCCTGACTACATGTGTCGAACGATGGATCTGTTGTGACTATACATGCGGGTGTATTTCAAAAAAGTCACACAGTGGTAATTAAAACGTTTTGATGAGTAAGTAAAGCGAGTTCTCAACTAGTTAGAAAACCTTGACTATTTGGATCTGTACAAATGATGAGTACCATGTTGTTAAAGCCCTTGATACCACATCCGGTCATTTTCTATCTGACAACCGTGCAAAGTGTTAAATGAAAAGTCTTCGTCGTTTTGTCATGTCCAAAACATTTTACTCAACCTTGCATTGTTTCCAGAATATATCAAGTGTACGAGGACAATGATTACCAAGAGCCTGTTTTAACACTCTAGTCGTATAGAAATAAAGAATATCATGTGGAATAGCGTGAAAATAGTGTGGAATTACGTTTTATTCTCCAGCTGCTTGAGATATGCGACGATTGAATAGATATGTCGTGGAAACAAACCGTGAACACGTGATATTTTGATAATGTTTTATAATACTGCCTTGGGTATGTGGGTGGCTTTTGCTACAGGTTTTTGTGTTTATGGACTTTCACCAGTTACAAAACGTCGCAGTTTGCTTGGCTGGGATACGACTTGTTGCAGACCTCTTTGGGATGGTCTTGGTTCCTCAAGTTGATCCTCATTCTTTTGTTTTCAATACCATTAATTATAAAGGATACCACCACCGTCCTGGAAATTCTAAATCCTCGATCTAAACACATTTTTTATGATTTGAATGTATGTATCTTTTGGGTCGGAAATGATTATTATTTACTCTTCCGAAAAGTAGTCAACATGGGTGGTATCACACTTCCTAGGTAACACAAAACCATGCTAAAATGTAGTTCTGATACTGCGACTGTTTATAGGATATGGTTGTCATATGACTTGCTGATTTGCATATCTAAAATCGTTTTAATATAAAGTACTCAAACCTTTGTAATATTTTATTAAGCTATATGATACGATTTAATTACAAATACAATATTAAGTACGTATCTGTTTGTTTGTATTGTTTACCTAAGAATAAATATGGAAATAGGAGCGTTGTTTAACTACAAACGTAGCAGTGGACTAACCAATAGGGAGTATACAGCTAGGTATACGTAATAAATCAGGCGACATGTAACTATTAAAAACATCTGTAATCAATATATTAATCTTGACGCAGGTAGCCGAGAAGCGGCGTATGTTTACGCCATCAGTTCCGCAGGTGTAACGTACTCTGTAACCCAGGCGTGCAGTCGAGGGAACATCAGTAGGTGCGGTTGTGATCGGACGAAGGCCGGGATGAGTCTATGGGGGGACTGGAAGTGGGGAGGCTGCAGTGCTGACGTCCGCTACGGGATGAGACTAGCTCGCAGGTTCCTGGACGCACGAGAGCTCGAGTGGGATGCTCGATCACTGATGAATCTCCACAACAACAAAGCTGGGAGAAAGGTCAGTGATTAAAGTATCAATTCCACAGTTCAGTTTCACCTATGTGCATATACAGTATAGCTTCTATGTAAATATCCAGCTATCATTTGATTTTTGTTTTATTATTTACCTGTAAAACTAAAGGATCCATTACAACAGCGCCCCCTAAAATCAACTCTAGTCGCTATCTTTATTATTATTGAGAGAAAAGTTTGTAAATATCTGGCTCGTCTCTCTTTCACACACACAAACAACTTACGACGATACAATAATATTTTCAAAACGCACATACAAGCAAACACATTTACTTTGAATAATGCTTGGAGACGGCTTGAATGGGTAATGAAGAAAAACTTTAATATAACTTTAACATAACAGCAAATGTACATCGTTTCGACAAGGTTTTGTCATCATCAGCCTTTTTTTTTTTTTTTTCTGAAGACCAGATGCTCATTTCGAAACTTTCACGAAATTATGTAATTTTCCTGAACAGTGTTAGTTATGACATGGCGAATAGAAAGTTGGGTGGAATTATTACTTAAAGACACTCTACTAGCAACTCTTGTCCTACACAATTTGTCTACGTCGGAGATTATCAACAACCAATCTCTTGCTGACAAGCTCAACCATGGGTCCTCACCTCTGGTAAATGGCCACTGGATAAAACAGCAAGTGGCTCTCGGCAGAGACATAGCCTAGTAATTTCGCTTGTCGCTACGTTTCAAAATGCCACAGTTTTCAAGAGAAGCCCCTTGGCTTTCTCACAGTTTTCTTGGCACGTGAATATTTTATGGAAGTAATCAATTCATCAGGGAAGAAAAACGCATAATCTAACCGGTGGTGTGTCAGTAGTTGAGCCTTATCTCACTCTATAAACAAGCTGTCACTTTTAGTACTTGGATTTCCACATATAATTTATCAACAAGTATTCTTAAGTTAAAAAACTACTAGATGAAACAGAAGGATATGTATTACAACTTTACAACTATTACTCACTGAAAATTCTCTCTCTCCCTTTTTTTTGGTATGTGCCTAACTATGTTAGTTCTGTGAGTGGTCTTCGAATCACTAAAAATAAAGGCAAAAAAAGAAGAGACTGCTTTGATCAAAATTGATGCAACTGAACTGGACAGTCGTGCACGAGATTGAAGAACTCAATCAGGATAGTTATAGAACCGACCGGTTTAATGTGGAAGGGAAGGGGGGGGATTCGTCAGTAACGACCCGCAGTAGTAAGGTGGACAGCAAGTAAGTTAAGCTAGTGCTTACAGGGGTAACTTCTTTTAGCTAACTAAAAGTTTTATATGTGGTTTCAGAAATGATTACAACTTTCTTTATAAGATGATGTAATCTAGAAATGATGAGATTTATGTTTATATGATGACGTACCCATAAATGATGACAACTTTGTTTACAAGATGATGCAATCTAGAAATGATGGCAACTTTGTTTACAAGATGATGTAATCTAGAAAAGATGATAACTCTACTTATAAGATGATGTAATTTGGAAATGATGACAACTTTTTTTATAAGATGTTATAATCTAGAAATGATGAGATTTATGCTTACATGACGACGTATTCCATAAATGATGACAACTTTGTTGACAAGATGATGTAATCTAGAAAAGATGAGAACTCTACTTACAAGATGATGTAATCTAGAAATTATAAGATGATTATTTAAATGATTATATATCCAATAAAAGATGAAACCCTTGTTTATTATAAGATGATATAATCTAGAAATTGTGAGAACATTGTTTACAACGTGAAGTAATAGAAAAATGGAAAAAGAATTATTCCAGTTTGCACTGGTGTAATTTGGAAATTAAATAATCTTTGTTATGTAATCTTAAAAGTTGAAGGACTTTGTTTATATTATCATGAAATATAAAGGTTTTTGTCTATTTATAAGAAAAGGAAATGTGAAAATGGATATTTTTATTGCGTGCAAAGTGGTAATATTTATAATTGGAAAAATCTTTTGTCAATCTACAAGATGATGTAATCTCAAAATTATAATATTTTTGTTTGTTTACAAAAATATGCAATCTACAAATGGTGAAAATTTGACTACAATATTATTTAATACACAAATGGGAAGATATTATCATTTTACAAGTTGGTATAATCTATAATCTGGAAGATCTATTGTCAGTTTACAAGATGATGTAATGTAAAAATTATGCGATATTTGCCAGTTGTCTTAATCAGGGAACTTTTAAGACCAGACATGCGTGGTTAAAAATGGACTATGGTAAGGAATCGAAGAATAACAGATACAATTACTGAAAGGTCCTTTTATAGATCCAGAGCTATAAGTTTATATTAATTAAGTATTTTTTATCTAGTGAGAGAGTACATTTAAGACACAAACATATAAGACACTATAGACAAAATACTTTGAAGTCTGTCAGTGAAAAACCTTCAGAAGGCTAAAATCACAACCATGGAAATATGGACAGTAAAGAACCCTTGAGAAAACCCAAATCCACAAGACAGTATAGAAGTAGAACCAAGGAAATATAGACAGTCAAGAATCCCTGAGAAGACCCAAATCCACAAGATAGTATAGAAGTAGAACTAATGAAATATAGACAGTCAAGAATCCCTGAGAAGACCCAAATCCACAAGATAGTATAGAAGTAGAACTAATTAAATATAGACAGTCAAGAATCCCTGAGTAAACCCAAATCCACAAGATAGTATAGGAGAAAAACCAAGCAAATATAGACAGTTTCAAATGTCTCAAAATATACGCAAAGAAATTTCTTTAGTTTCTAGCTCAGGACTGATATATTGTATTTCGCAGAGTTTATAGGACTTATAGAGAAAGAAAGTTTACACAAGACGGAACAAAGAGTGCTGTATGACTAATTCCCTGTCTAAAAACTGAAATATACAAGAATTTGACTATTATAGAAGTAAAGTTATAGGTTGGTTTGCTTTGTTTCGGATATCCGCCCAAATCTACATTAGGGTTAGCTCCTCTAACAGTACATAATTTTGAAATGATAGACTAAAGGGAAAATACTTAGTCAACAGCGCTAACCAGCAACTCTTGGGTTACTATAATTGAATAGTGGGGTTTGAGTGGCATTCATATAACGTACCCACTGCCCCCAAAGTAAGTAGCCCGTTTCTTTCTTTCTTTTTTTTTTTTACAGCATCATGATGCGAGCCGTGGATCCACAGTCCAGCTTGATATCCCCTAGGCAACGCTCGAAAGTCTTATTAATAACTATGGGAATGTAAATGTAATATTTAGATTATCACGTAGTTAGCCAACTAATATTCGGTAAGCCAAAAATGGATACTTGGTGAGGCCTAACAATTAGTTAAACGCTACAGTGCTTAACAAAAGGTCCCCCGGTGGCTCAACGGTAAGTCTGAGGGCTTATTAGGGTAAAATTCAGGTTTTTATACCCCTGGTAGGCAGAACAGAGATAGTCCATTGTGAAGCTTTGTGCTTAATAACAATAAAAACAAAAAAGCTTACTAATGGACCTAATGGACACAATTAATAAATTATACTTCTTAAGGCAAAATGGTACGTAATTAATTAGTGACACTTTTGGGGATCAGACTATGCGTAAAATAAATTAATGCCATTTTCAAGACACTAAATTAGAAGATATTTATAATATATTCAC